TATCACTTTTAGAATATTATAATTCTTAAAAAAGAAAATACCTCTTTATATGATAGGTTCATTCCTATAAGATTACTATGACATATTTTTGTGTCTTCTTGTATGTTGTCATTTTTGCACTGCAGGAACCCTTTCCTACAACAGAGTTGTGGTTTCCTGTCTGGCAAATTGAGTATTCACAAATGACCAAGCACTTTGAAGTAGGATAAAAAGAAATTAGGATTAGTATGTTTATGTGTTGAACCAGTATTTGCTGAACGTCTAATATGTTCCCAGCACCTTGGTTATGGCAATAGTAAAACAGTGAACAAAAACTCTGCCATACTGTGCCTTGATGAGCCTACAGCTCGCCAGGAAGGATAGAAAGAGGAAAACAGTAAGTCAGAAATGCTGATGTTGAATCGAATATTGGGAAACATTCTGAATGCAGCTGTTGAGAAAGTGAATGGCTTCCTCATCCTAAATGAGGTCAGTAAGCCTTGCCTGAGAGGATAATTAGTAAAATGAGTTACTCAGATAACCCAACTGCCTACTTAGCTTCTCCCACACTCCTTAATCCCTGAGCACATGTATCTTAATCCACCATCACAGTGAATGGCTAGTTCCATAACTGGAAATCTTAGATGTATCCTTCACATTGTTCTTTCTCTCCTAGTCTTTGTCTACTCTATCAACAAGTTTGGCCATTCAGTGTATTCCAAATCCCCCAGCTTCTCTCCACCTTTGCTATCATCATCCTGTTCCAGTCACCATTGTCTACCACTAATCTTCTAAATGATCCATAGCCTTCCAATGTGGCCTCCCATAATTTATGCTCCTTGCAAGTGAAAGATGTTTAAACATTTAAATCAGATGAATGCATTTCACTGAATGTAATACTTCATTATTCTAGGTTACACCTTATTTTAGATACTACTAAGAAGAAAAAGAAGGGCCTGAGATTTAACTCAGTAGTTCTGCTGCCTGCCTTACAAGCGCAAGGTCCTGAGTTCGATCCCCAGTACCAAAAAATAAAAATAAAAAAATAAAAAGAAGCAAACACAAACAAAAAACAAAACAAAACCTCAAAAGAAGAAAAAGAATGGCATCTACTTAAGATTTTTAGATTTATTTATCCTTCAGACTAAGTTTTTCATCATATATCATTCTTTTGCAAACTTGAAAATATAAATGAAACTGGTTAAAGTATTGCTAAGACAGTGGAAACTACTATCTAATAGTGACTAAAAAATACCATTGATTTCAAAATACATCTTGATTCACAG